TGCAACAAACTTTGGTAGACCCAGACACAAACGCAACGCTTCTCTTTCCAGCAGTATTAGGTGTCTCATTTTATAAGCTGCGCTGCCAGAAAATAATACACATCCGAATTCCATGAAGGGCCACACATAAAGTTTATATATCATTATTAGCACATCTCTTCTTAAACCCGCTTTACGGTTTGCAAGCTTCCGTAGCCACCCCATGGCCCGTGTTGCCTTGGAGTACACATCATCAATGTGACTTCTCCAATTTAACGTGTCATTATATATGATGCCCAAATATTTAAGGGAATTCGCCTGCGGAATGAGCTCATTACTGTACATCAACGAGATGTTGATAGGCTGCAGAAAAGAGAATGCAAGAAGCACACTTTTCTTTACGTTCAGGGTCATATGAATATTTTTAAGCCATCTTTCTTTCTATCATATTGAGATAATTTTGTAGACTCTGGTATAATGATTGAAGGTCGGTATTACTTGCAAAGAAAGCAATATCGTCCGCGTACACATATAACTGAATATCCTTAGTTGATGGAATGGAGCTTAAGAAAATGTTAAATAAAACTGGCGACAGGACACTCCCTGTGGTACGCCACGTGTCTGCTTATATCTCTTCGATTAGTACTCATCTTTAAAGCAGTAATATTCTCTCCGTCTTAAAAACTCCGACACCCACGCAGTGATGTAGTTGGGAAAGTGGTGATATTACATCTGTTTTAATAAAATTGAATGCTCAACCCTATCGTACGCTTTAGCCAAATCTAGAGTAACTAAAGCTCAATATTGGCACCGACGCCGAGCCAGTTCTATTCGGCTTTCTAAATCAACATGCGCACACCATATTGAGCAACCGGATCTAAAACTAATTTGACTGGGGTGTAATATTGCGTTATTATCAATATATTTCATTACCCGGGCATTCAGAGCTCTTTCAATAAGCTTAACCAGATTCGACGTGAGTGATATTGGCCTTACATTGTCCAAGGCGAATCCTTTTTCTTGCTTTTTAAGAAGTGGAATCACTTTAGACAGCTTCCATTCCGCAGGTATCCAAGCTTTTGTCAAAGAAAAATTCACCAGATTAAGTATTTCAGTTGGACAAATCTCGAATATTACTTTTATCATTGCATTTGTTACCCCGTCTGGTCCAGGTGCCGAAGGAGATAAGTGCCTTATTATCTCTGCCAGCTCATCTACAGATGAGGAATTATAAAAATTGATGATGACACGTCAAATTGATAAAGAAGAGTCGGTGACTATGCTCACAATATAGAAGAACAAAGGTGACAGCAAAATTTCAACAAACAAGTGCCTTATGCACCACAATAGACGAGGATGAATCAAGTGGCGCGATGGCTCCATTTTCACAACGAGAGTGGGAAAGCGCGGATAAAAGGGTTTCTAGTAGTAAATCAAAAGGCCAAGATGGCATTCCAATTATGCTGATAAAGACATTTGGTCCGAAGTCTTAGCAGACTTTGAGAGAGGCAGTGAGAAAAATAATAATCGATGGTGAAGTCCCCGATGGATGGAAACTTAGCAGGATGAGCATGATCTATAAAGGAAAGGGGGACAAAGCTGACATAAACAGCTATCATCCTATAACAGTGACATCAGTGGTCTACAGGCTGGCGATGCAGATTATAAAGGAAAGGCTGCAGGCATGGATAGAGGATGAGGGGGTGCTGGGGAAACAGCAGAATGGGTTTCGGAAACACAGGAGGTTGGAAGAATATGTTCTCACTGACGCAGTGCATCGAAATAGCAGAAAAGGAACACTGGTCCCTGTGGCTAGCATTTTTGGATATCAAGGGAGCGTACGATAGCGTGTTTCAAGAGGACTTGTCGGGAATACTGGACACACTAGGTGTGGAAGATGGCGTCACTAATCTTTTAAAGGATATCTATAAAGGTAACAAGGTAGTTATAAAGTGATAAAAACAGGTATCCAAGCCCACAGAGGTAAAAGGGGGATTAGGCAGGGGTGTCCTCTGTCACCATCGTTATTCATGATGTACCTACAAGTATTAGAGGCCAAATTAGAGGGAAGTGGACTTGGCTGCAATCTCTCTTTCGTCAAACAAGGAAAACTCATTGAACAGGCACTACCAGTATTGATGTACGCAGATGATACAGAGCTAATGGCCGACAACAAGGAAGATTCACAAAGGTTGATGGACATCTTCGGTAATGAGGGAGATAGCTTAGATTTCAGATTCAGTAAGAAAAAATCAGCAGTCATCATTTTTAATGATAATGAAGGTAGTGAGCTTAGAATACAGGAGATCACGCTAGAGATAACAGATAAATACAAATATCTGGGCGTATGGATAAGCAATGGGATCGAGTAGCTAAGGGAACACGAAATATACGTGACGACCTAAGGTAACAGGAATGCAGCGGTGATGAAAAACAGGGCACTGTGGAATTACAATAGGTATTATGTTGTGAGAGGAATATGAATAGGGGTCATGGTTCCTGGTATGACGTTCGGCAATGCGGTCTTGTGCATGAGATCAGAAGTTCAAGCAAGATTAGAAATTAAGGAACTTAGAATAGGTAGGCTTGCCTTAGGAGCTCAAGGGAATACACCAAATTAGGGAGTACAAGTTAATATGGGATGCACATTATTTGAGGGCAGTGAAGCTAGCAGCAAGATAAAATTTGAGAAGTGATTGAGTGACAGGGGGTAGGAGCGTTGGGCTAGGAAGGTTTTCAGCAACTTGTACATGAATAATGTCAATACAAATTGGAGGAAGCGAACCAGAAAACTGACGGGTAAATACTTAGAAAACAGCAGGGGGCCAAACCCAAAAGAATTATCGGTTGAGAAGAAGGTGAAGGAAGCTGAGACCGACATGTGGAGAATTGCCATGATTATGAAGTCCGCACTAGAGATCTATCGAACTTTTAAGCAGGAAATTACCAAGGAAAGGATCTATGGTAATATTCGGGGTAGGTCTCAAGTGTTCCAGGCGAGAACGGGAGTGTTGCGAACCAAGACATATCGGGCCAAATACGAAGGGGTAGACACGGTATGCAGTGCGTGTGGGGAGGAGGAGGAAACTGCCGAACACTTAATAATGTTCTGTAAAGGGCTTCACCCTGTAGATCAGGATGATGGCGCATAGTTTTTCAAAGCACTGGGGTTTAGAGACAGGGAGGGCAAAATAGAGATTAAGCGGGTAGAATTGACTAGAAAGAGGTTATCTGATTGGTGGCTAAAGTCAAGGCACGAGTGAGAATTAAACCCTTCACTGCAAAGTACCAATCCTCAGCCTCACCATGTAAAAGAAAAAAAAATAAATCTAGTTTTTGGTTCACTAAGTGTTACGGCTTCGTGGCATTAGGCACCATCCGATCTAATAGGTACAGCCATATCAATCCATCCATCCATCCGTTCGGGATAGCGCAGAAGGAGAGAACAGGAGAGGGCCGACAACCTGCTCTTCGGCTCAAGTCGCAGGCATCTTTCTAGAGAAGGCATTGGCTAGAAGAAACGAAAATCCGTTCGACAGTGGTAGAATCTGAAGGACAGGTGCGGTATATGTATAAACACCAATCTCTGGTGATCCCACACATCACACTCCGGAAAGTGCTATTGTGCCAGGTTTAGAAAACCACAGGTAACCTTTGCTTGGCACGGCGCACCACTTTAGGCATTCCATGACACGACCAAGCCGGCCGCGCCTTGTTTCTCGACCGATCAACGCACAAAGTTCAGGCTACTTTCCCTACCAAACATGCACAAGAGTCATTTTTCGCTCATTTCATTTGCGATACACAAATAAAAATAATGTTCCCCTCACGAAACACTTCATTAAGGCAATATGCCGTCGTGTAGGGCATCGAATTTTCTGACATATATCTTGTAAAATATATCGCAGATGCACTTGAGCTACAATAGTGCATCCATCCTAAAAAACGGCGGGTGTCTATCAGTTAAAATCGTACTAACCTTCGCATCGCTTCACTTTTCCAATGCCTTCTTTTCCCATGCCAATGTTGTGACTGGTGGGACGGCTTTCAGCTTTTCCACAGTATAGTACCAAGTACTCTAAATCGTTCAACACTTTTTCTATACACACGTCGACTTCCATATTTTGAGAGCCGTTATTATAAGTATGTCACTCACTGACTGTTAACGTATTGCGCGGAATCTGTGAAAATGTAAGACATCGGCTCATTACCAACTGCGACCCATTTTGTGAACAGCTGTATGTAACCATGTGGCGTAAGTAAAAATTTCTTTTTGCAGTGCGTGGAGTACCGAAATCCCATTTTCCGGAATGATACTTTATTTATGGCTGCTCCACCAATTCTACACAATTTGAGTAGCGCCGGGAAAGTATTATACGTTGGGCCTAAACACGCCAAGTGAATCTGGCGTGTTTGTGTCTGTCTACTACTCTTTGTCATACAGCGCAATGTTCACTCATAATTTTGCGGCCCCCAGGCCGGGAAACGGACCGTCATCTACGGGGTTAGCAGAACAACGTTTCAGTTATCACTGAACATAAACGATGGTCATGCGTTCATATCCAAACAGCTATGAAACGTTGCAACGTGAATGGACGTAACCCGATAATAGACCACTGTATCACAAACGGCTCATCGCCGAAAACCTCACGTTCACAAAGCATCAGTTATTGAAAAACGGCGTATGCAAGTACGCTAAGCAATATATGAAATGGCAATATTTGCACAGAAAGTAACTTAAGTCATGGTATTTTAATACACATTGTCAGGTATTACATGATAATTGAATGTATTACGAGGACAAATGCGCAAAACAATACGTGAAACTGCATTAGGTACTCCTACAGTTAAGACTTGTTATTTAAATAGACAGTGTGACTTTGACGTGCATTTCTGTAGTGTACGTGTACATCGGCAATAAACTTTGAAACATTCAAATGAGGGCTCGCAAAATTTCTGACATACTCATCTCGGTACAACAGAAAAAAAAATACTTCGTAAGGCTTCTCACAAGCACTCACCTCCTGTACCAGCGAACTCCTGTAGTAGCTCTGTCCGTATTCCCAGCGATTGCAGCGCACCGTCTGGTTACCGAAAACTGGAGTACTATTGCCGACGAGCTCAACGTCAAACATCCGGCAACGACCGTAGCTGAGAGACGATATATAGGCGTCGGCTGTCGAGTTCGGGAGCACCAGAGACTTCCACTGTTCTGACGTCACGTTCACGGCCAAACTGTCCGGCCTCGCACACCAGTACTCGATCGTGGGCAGAAAAAAGCTGTAGATGACCAGATGAAGGCCGTTGGGTATACCTCTGAGGAGGCAGAAGAGGTAGACGTTCCTCTGGAACTTGCCGTAGTCTCCGATAACACTCGTGACGTCCATCTCGTTGTTTTTTGGTGAGCAACTGGTTGTCTCTATGGCGTCTCGCTATTGACGACTCCTGTTTGAATATGGTAATATAATACTGTGCACCTTCTGCCACTGCTTATTACAAACTGGCAGTGCGGGGTTCAGTGCCAGTAGACTTTAGGTTAACTAACGCGCTCTGTCTTGATGGCTGCGCAACTGGAAACCACAAATATAGCGATTCCTCCTCGCTCCATGAACTGTATTAAAGCTTCGGATCTCCTCGCCTCCTGTTACACGTGGGGTTTCGGTTCCTCGCTTACAGGGGCACAACAGCGATCACTTTGCAGCCTTGAAGAAGGCCGATGAACTCCATGCTGTCGGCCGAAGGCGCCCACAGTGTGCGCGGCGAAGTTTGGCGTGGCGAGGTAAATCGAGGTGTGACAAGAGAGTGCGGGCTCTTGAGCAATCACCCAAGCACGCTATCTGCCAGGGCTACGCCTGTGAATACGTCATGTCGTGGCGTTCCTTTGACGGCGTATTTTCTTGCGTCAATGTTTTGAGTCACTTCAGGAAAACAGAGCCATACATCTACTCGTGTAGCTATGATTCGCGAGTGATCTTCAAGTAGATCTTTTTTTTTATATCCTGAAGCACTCTTAGGTCAAGTGTTCTGTTATCGTTTTTATCTGGAAGTAAACAAAAAAGGGTGCCTTTTCGTTTCACGCAAGCTTTCAAAATTGCCCCAGACGTCTTTTCTTGCTGTTGCGATGTCTACAGAAAGCGAGTATTTCTCTTTGAGGGCTTTAGTGGGTCACTGGGCTTGCAAAACCCTTACTGTTAAAACTTTGAAATGTTCTCAATCTTTGTTTTTGCACATGTACACACCAACGCTTCCGTTGTTATTAACCCACAAGTTTGCCGAGGAGCAGTTCTTCATTTTTTATGGTCTTCGATCGAGCAAGCTGAAGATGCTAGGGCCAAGATTTTGAAGCTTCCATCTAGGTGGGTGTGCCAATCCTACAACCACACCATGTATAAAACGATGTTTTTATCTATCTATCTATCTAGCTATCAATCTATCTATCTATCTATCTATCTATCTATCTATTTATCTATCTTCGGGAACTCGAAGTGAAGCTTAAAAGTCACAACAAAGTTCCTCACCAGACAGTTCCAAAAGGTACTTTTCTAGGTGGTTTCCTTCTCATTTGCCAACGCAGTCTTTCCTGAAAACGGTGGAACGCTGTACCAATTCCGGTGTAGAACACGTGGGGACACTACCGACAGTCTCATTACCATTGAAACCCAAATTGATCACCACCTACGGTCTCTGCCTCGTTCAACGAGTACGCACGTTTTTTCTACTGTTGCAGAGTCGCAACCCTGACTTCTTTTTTCTGGTCAATAATTACCGTAAGCATGAAGGATTGAGCTAATCTAGTATTATTTCATGTATCCGCCAGCATTCTAGTCACCTTGCTATGGCGCTTCGTTGATCTCACAAAAGAAAGGCGTCCTATGTAACCACACGTGTCGCCACTGCAAGAGCCTGCTCATTGTACCTTATCTCAATTACGTTATGGCAGTCCTATCAAGGCGACGTCGACAGCTGTGGTCATTTACTTTGTTCGTATCCGCTTCCACTTTATACCACTTGCGCTGCAAGACCTGCAGCTCGGTCGTATTTGTCTGAGCTGGTCGGGGTCCTGACCCAGTTTACACTTGGCTACAGTCCCGAACGGCGCCAGATGTGGAGATCGTCCAAATGTGCAATCGTCCATGCATACCGCGGAAATGAAGACTTCGTCTGCGTTTACGTAGAACATACACTAAAGAGCACAACCAAATTTCGCGTGTTAGTAAAGTACAAGTTTACAATCTGTACAACATGACTCTTGTCGTGGCATAGCTCATTGTGAGGGAGGAAATACACGAAAAAAAAAAAAGACGGGTGGGCGGGCACGCCACCTTGAAGTTTCCGCACTTGATACCTTGACGTAAGAAATTTTAAAGGCGCCGACCAAGTACTACGTAGCTTTTAATCAGTTAACATTCAATGCATTGTTATCTGTGAGTGCCATGACACTATATTGCGAACTTTGAGCAAGTTTCATCATAGAAATGTCACGGAAATACCAAAATTACATTTCGGAATTTCTGACGTGATGCGCGGAGATTTCGGCACGAAATTTAAACATGAAACTTCCACCTTAATTTTTCTCCGCTAGTAACAAATTTAATATAGTGAAACATGCCGCATTAGAGATGTCAAAGTGCAGTTTATTAATGTAAAGTAAGTTATGGTTTTTCTTTTGTGTCTTTTGTGTTTTTTCTTTCAATAAACTTTAGTTGCGCATCACCGCCTGATATCTGAACTTTTTTTTCTTCCTCCTCGTGTTGTGTCACTGCTTGAACCAAAGGTGAACGGCTACCAACTCACATTTGTTGCTATTTTTTATGTTATTCAGCCTTTCTGCTACGTAAGACAATAACCGCTTCACCATCAAGAAATAGTTGTTTAGACGAAAACAAATGTTATTCACTACGTTTGGCTTCGAATGCTGGTCAGCGAGTCAAAATGGGGTGTGCCTTAAGCTCATGGCTAAATACACACGCTTGAAGACTCTGAATTCATGTGAACCACACCAATGCTTCGTAGCCGCAGTGCTACAAAAATGTCAGCAGCTATTAGTTTTCATCTTAGTTTTGTCAAATTTCTTGGCGGCGTAATACAAGTCCCCTGAAAACTAGACGCAAAGCCAACACGGAAGATTTCGCATCGACAAAATTCCTACTTAGGAATTATACGATGACAAATGTGCGCCTTTTGGTGCTCACAAGACGCATCATCCATGGCCAAGAAGTTTTTAAAAATTGCGCCATGGCGAGGTTTTGGCGGCGAGAGAGAATATGAAAGACGCCCTGCCGTTTCCGCCCTATAACAATGTTCCAGAGGATGCTCCATACAACCAAAGTGTACTTGCGCTTTATTCATACGGCTCCTGAAGGCGAACCTACGTTTACTGCTTTTTCTGGGTTGTAGTGAGCGCCACTTTCTATTATTTCGAGGTTAAAAAACTGAGAATTCCCCAATTTCTATAAGGTCTTAACAGAATATCACTCAGTCTTGTTTTAGAGTACTGTAAGTAAGGCATTGCATGGGGCTTTTTCTTAACAAATTTTTCGACCATTTAAATTTTATGTGCTCTACGATGGTAGAGCAATATCATGTGCAGACGCACCACTTCCATACACTTCAGCACGGGTGTTTTGAAGAAATGTTTAAGGATTCGGATCACTTGGTACTCTAGTATGGGATAGCATAAAGCCGTCCCAAGACATCAGCAAGCATTGTGTGTGTTCAGAAAAGTGTTTGACGATTTAGGGTACTTTGGACCTTACTACGGCAGAGCAGAATGCCGTTCCTCTGTTGTACTCATGCTGTTGTTTAGGAGAATTTTATTTCCAAATATATCTTACATAGCTTATGTGCACACAGAAATATAGGCAGTGATGATCATTCGTATGTACAGTGCAAGCTGTTATATACAGCGAAAATACCTTATTTGCGTACGCAGTGATGTACAATGGAAAAATTGTACAAGGACCAGACATTCGTGAACACCGAGATGATTAAACTTATTTAAACAGTAAGGCTGTATGCACAAACAAGGGCTTCATTCACAGTGTAAGGTGATGTTTTTGCATCCGCCTGTGAGGACAGTTTGCTCTCGTGCTCAAGAACCATATTTCACAAAAAAGACATGATGCGCATAGAAAAAAATGTTTAACGATTTGGAGTACTTCGTACTCAACTATATAGAAGAGCACTAAGCCGCCCCGCTAGAACCTTGCATATTTAAGAAATTAATGGTCTCGTAAAGTTACCCCACCCTTTGTACTGCCAATGCCACCGACTGCCTGTAGACGTTGTTGGCATAATGTCGAAAATGACGCCAAAGTTTCTCCTGGTATAGCGCTGACTTTCTTCACAGCGACTCAATGCCACTGTCGGTTCACTCAATGGCAGACAAATGTTCTTGAGACACGTTACGCTCGACAAGCATTCTTTATCATAATGCCCCGAAATAGTAAGTATTAAGCACAGGTTGCTATAAGTTTGACAGGAGTCCATTCAAACGTGGCCAGGAATTCAATTTCGAGCCGGTAACCATTTCGTTGTAGTCTCAACGAGAGAACTGCGCGTCGCGTTTGTCTGTGTGTCGCTTAGGATGAAACGCTGCGATGAAACGATATGCAAAACTATGAGTGGAATAACTATTTAAAAGCCGGCGAATGCAAGGCCTGGACCTGGGTATGGCCGCTTGGAGCAGTAGCTCCCGCGCTGCCTCCAGGGCTCGCTGGATGGCCCAAAGTTGATCCTTAAGTACTGAGCTTTGCAGCACGGCCTTTATTTCCGAGGGCTAAACGAGAGGTGGCTACCTACAACAACAACAACTACTACTACTGCTACTACTGCTACTACTACTACTACTACTACTACTACTACTACTACTACTACTACTACTACTAACCGGTGCGAAATGTGACATGCTGCATTTCGCGCCGATGCGCTACCCAGACAACACTGTCTCTCCCTCTTTTCGTGACGGAGGGACGCCGGACGCGCTGCAACGCGCATGCGTCAAAGCAACGCAGCGCAGCGCGCGCTTTCGAGTATATGGCACGACCGGTGCCTGGCGTGGCATCGCCGGCGTGACCCGACGAAATGAACGCCGGTGAGCACACGCACCACGTCACGTCGAAACGTATTGGCGCCTTGACTGTGGCATGTAGTCATGTTCGCGCATGACATGCATCTCATGAAGCAGCAACATACTTTCGTCATTCATTGACGTCACGTAATAACACATTTGGCATTTCGGAAGCTAGCGGAACGGCCGCCAGCACATCGTGAGTGTGCCATGTACTCACGTTGTTACATGACAAGCATGTAATCATTATCATGTTTGTATGCGTCATTTACCTTTGTAGTCCGTTCGCGTCGCGTAATACCAAGTTTGGTACCCGTGAAGCTATCGAAACGGCAGTGGGGGCACATGAGCGTAGCACGTAGTCATGTTGTTACATCACGCGCATCCCATGTTTATCATGTTTGCACCAGTATCCTACCTTCGTCACCCATTCGTGTCCTGTAATACCGAATTTGGTATAAGTGAAGCTAGCGGGGCGGCCGCCAGCACATCATGAGCGTGGC